CATGTTCATATGGACCCTCTTCATCCTCCCCATCAGGCCCACAATATACCTCCTCCTCAATATCTTCTTCCTCCTCCCTTTCTACCATATTAACTGCCTTCCTCCTRGGACAGTCAYTGGATCTATGTCCAACCTCATTACATTTAAAACATTTAATAGGACCAAGCCTTGCATAAGGGTTACTGGGTTTTAGGAGGGTTGGAAGGATTACCTCGAGTATGTCCTCCTGTAGTAGCCTTACCGGTGTTACTTGTACTTACCGGGTGAGAGGGTTGCACTGCCGGGACTGATTTGTTCCTGTTGACAGTTGCCGATCTGTTGTCGTTCCCGCTGTACCGGCAGTAATTATCACTGCGTGCCTTGTCTTGGAATATTAATTATGCTTTCAAGGCTAAGTTCCTTTCTTCCTGCATACTAAGAACCATTTGTACACCAATTTTGTCTCTGATGGACGGTCTTAACCCGCTCAAATAACGGGTTGTCTGCTGGTTATCACTTTCAGACAACTGGTTTCTTTCTGCTAATCTTAAAAATTATGATGTGTACTCATTAACACTATGTGAACCCTGCGCACACCGCTGATAAGATTCAAACATATATTGTTCATACTCGGGAGGTAAAAATCTACCTCTGATTAACTGTTTTATGCGCCTCCAGGTTCGAATAGGACCCCTTCCTTCTCTGATCTGGGTCTCTCTCATCCGTTCCCACCAAACAAATGCGCCTCCTTTTAATCGGAAAGTTACCAGTTTTACCCTTCGTTCCTCTGGTATTTCCATGTAATCAAAGAATCTGTTGACTTCTGTGATCCAATCCAGAAGTCCTTCTATACCAAGATCTCCACTAAAGGTAGAAATATCTACTTTAAGTTTGAATTCATCATTATTCCTACGGGGATTGAAATTACCTTGATTGTGCCAATTTCTACCGTTTCTGTCGTTGCCAGGAAGAACTGAAGCACCACCAAATTCGAAATCATCATCACTGTTGTCGTCAAGAACTGGACGTCGGGACGCAATAGCGACAGGTGGTCTGTCGTGGTCGTCTCCTTCGATCTGCTGCTCAGTCACCTCTGCCAACTATTGTTCAATGTTACGTGTAGCCGTGCGTTGTTCTTCAATCGCTCCCCAAACAGTTGGGAACCACTGATCTCCATCACGGGGTGGGTTGCGACTACTACCGTCTAGTTTGGACATGACTGGGCGAATTCCCTGCTCTGATACCACCTGACGCAGCGTGAAAGCAATGAAAAACCGGAGCTGGCTATGCAAACACTGGGCGATCGCTAGCTTCTAGTGAAGAACACCGAATTCTCTAGGAGAGAGAAAAGGTGGCGAAAATTGGAAGAAGAGAACTTGAAG